GCCTGTTGAGCGAGGTGACCTTGCTCGGGTCACAAGTGTACGGTTCATAAAATGGCTGCCATATACACGTCCACTGATAGGAGACGCGGAAGGTATTAAACTGATCAGAACAATACTAAACACACCACAAATAAGGTTTCTCTCCTGTATGGCTCCTCAAATGATGCTTAAGATTAGAAGCGGCTGAAAAGCATTTCTCACACTCCGAACAAAAATATATTTTTTTAACATTCTCTCCACTTTGAGCGAAATGACGTTTGGGAAGAGATTAACATAATTAAACACAGGCAGTAAAAATACAGTTTTTAGCCATACCCTGTAACTTTAAACTACACATCCCATCTTCATAATTACATATTTGGAATCAGCACACTTAAAACATAAACATAACCAAAAATCAGCCAAATCCATGCAGGGGTTAAAAAGTTAGCTGGAGGTCCCTTTATGACCGACCGCAAGCACATTTTCCTGCCCAAAACAGTTCCATAGATTTGGGCTGTGAGGTCGGTCTATTTCAGGCTGAAAAAACGACTGGTCCATAAACTAGGACTTGAGTCTCTGCAACTGAAATAAGGCTGAAAAAAGCGGCTGAAGAAAAAAAGACTAAGTCCCCATGCGAATGGGACTTAGTCTCTCTGGCACTAATAAGGCTGAAAAAACGGCTGAAAAAAGACTAAGTCCATGGCGAATGGGACTTAGTCTCTACAACTGAAATAATTTCCCATTTACTGAACCAAGTGGGAAATAGCAAGGCTGTGCAAGAGGGTTTGCACCAGGTCACAAGGGACACAGGGGACACCGTCTTAAAGGGGCAGTGTCCTCAACAAGTCTGGGGACACGGCCTTAAAGGGGCAGTGTCCCAATCTTCCTGATGTCCCAAAAAAGGTGTTTAAAGGGCCAGCACCAGTCACATAAAGAGTCCATAAGCCCAATATGCCCACCGACAGTCTTAAAGGGCCATACACACCAAATAAAAGTGCATACATTTTCACAATCTCCCAGGGGCCATAGTCATGCTGGAGGAGGCTGGCAAGTAGGCTTCTCTACAACCCAGGGAAGCAGGGCAATATGCCATTTAAAGGGCCCGTTACAAATAGCAGTTTGTAACAAGGTGTCAATCCATATCTGCCAAGTGACCCGATGTAGGGGGACCAGTCCCTATTCTGCTCTGTGTCAGTGTGTATCAGGGAACCTTAGAACAGGTGTCAATCCATATCTGCCAAGTGACCCACGATGTAGGGGAACAGTCCCTATTCTGCTCTGTGTCGGTGTCAAGGGATCCTTAGGACAGGTGTCAATCCCATATCTGCCAAGTGACCCTATGTAGGGGGACCAGTCTCTATTCTGCTCTGTGTCCGTGTGCATCAGGGCTCTGAGGACAGTGTCAATCCATATGTCAAGGTGTCAATATGTCATATGTCAGGTGTCAATCCATATTGATTGTGATTTAGGAATGTTAGGTGATTTCTGCCCTTTATGGATTAAAACCAGACTCTGTATCAACTGTGTAATTTTCCATGGGAGTTTTGCCATGGATCCCCCTCCGGCATGCCACAGTCCAGGTGTTAGTCCCCTTGAAACAACTTTTCCATCCCTATTGTGGCCAGAAAGAGTCCCTGTGTGTTTTAAAATTCGCCTCCCCATTGAAGTCAATGGCGTTTCGGGCGGTTCGCCGGTTCGCGAACATTTGCGGAAGTTCGCGTTCGCCGTTCGCGAACCGAAAATTTCGGGTTCGCGACATCACTAGTAATAAGTATTATGTCCACAGTAACAAATGTGGTAAACTACTGGCAAGGGCGCTAAAGGCGAGGAGATAAAGGTTGTTCATCGCTAAGATTAAAAATAGGACTGGGTCCCTACAAAATAAAACTGAAGACCTAGCGAACGCCTTCAGGGCTTTCTACCATGACCTGTACAATGTCTCCAGACCACCGGGAAATGAAGCAGAACTTGAAACATACATTAAAAACAATACGAAACACATAATTTCAGTCGAGGACCAGAGGTTGTTAGATAAACCCTTTACTTTGGAGGAATAGAAGAAGGCCATTAGAACGCTCCTCTTCGGGAAAAGCCTGGGACCTAACGGACTGACCAACAGATATTATAAGCTCTTCATGAATAATCTTTTCACCAGATTTTTGGAGGCACTTAATTCTATAGGAGGAACAGACCAAATTCCAGCACCCATCCACAGAGCCACGATTACAATACTGCCCAAACCGGGAAAAGCCCCCTTGCTATGTGCGAGCTATAGGGCAATACCACTCATAAATAGAGATTTAAAACTATTTGTGAAATTATTGGTGTAACGGCACCCCGAGTATAGAAGGGGTTAAAGCCGTTTAGGATATTCCCTTCCCGAACACAAAGGCAGCTACCAAACACTCCAATCAGCAGAACAGGAACCATACGAACAATCCACACTATAAACAGCCGAACAGGAAAAACCAGACGAATAAAACCCCCAAGTACGAGATGAGCCTCTGTATTGAGGGTCAAGCAGAAATCTGGTTTAATGTGGGCTACATGCCTGCCTTTTATGCAGGTCTTCCACCAGGTGGACACTCCCATAGGGGACCTGGTGGAAAACTGTGACAAGAATAGTACAGTAGCCAATCACAGTGTTACAGACATAAACACTCCCCTCTAACTGTATAGGACCTTCCTCTCTATCCTGGAGATAATTGGGAAGTAACTCAATTATCTCCGAGGATAGAGGACAAACTCCATTTTACACAGAAAATACAAAATACATAAAAATATATAATACTGAAACTACCGAATGAAACATGCACATTCAACGTATCCCTAGATAGCTTAGATCTGAGCGCACAATATTACCGAACAGCGCTCAGATCACATACATACAGTTCAATCGCCATGGAGCCAAAGTCTTTCACATAGTTTTTCGTCATACTAATGGGCTCCATGGGATAGCTATCTGGGGTGACTCTGTTCGTAAAGAAAAGTACCATAGGTGTGCGCACGGGGTGTGCCGGGTGTGCCTGGGCACACCCTAATCCCACCTCCGTGCTGCACTGCCTTAGGGCAGACTGACATTGCCCACAATGCCGCCGGGTGCGAGGCCCCTCCTGTCAGTCTGCCCTGACAGAGATCCAGCCTCAGTCTGCAGCTCCGCTGGGAGTCTGAGGTGTCTCGCGATCTCCAGCACCATGTGGTCTGCAGCTCACTCCTGGCGGAGCTGCAGACTGAAGAGAGAAGGCACCCACTGGACCACCAGGGCAGGTATTTATAAACCCCCCTCTACCCCCTGTCACTCACTGCCCCTCCACCCCCCTTCTACCCCCTGTCACTCACTGTTCCTCCACCCCCTTTTACCCCCTGTCACTCACTGTCCCTCCACTCCCCTTCTACCCCTGTCACTCACTGCCCCTTCACCCCCCTTCTAACCCCTGTCACTCACTGCCCCTACCTCCTGCCACTGCCCCTCTACCCCCCTGCCACTGCCCCTCTACCCCCATGCCACCCCTCTACCCCCCCTGTCACTGTCCCTCCACTCCCCCCCCACACCTGTCACTGCCCCTCTACCCGCTAACCCCTGTGAAACTGCCCCAGCCTGTCTCTACCCCTAACCCCTGTACTACCCCTTTACCCCCCCAGCCCCTGTCACTGCCCCTTTACCCCCAACCCCTGTCTGCCCCTCCACTCCCCCACCCCCTGTCACTGCCCTCCTTTCGCGCCTGTAACTACCCCCAGCCCTGTCACTACCCCTAACCCTGTCCTACCCCCTAACCCTTGTACACACTGTTATCCCCAAACCCTGTCACTGCCCTTTGCCTAGCCCCTGTCGCGCCCATCCTCCCCACCCCCTGTCACTGCCCACTCTGCCCCACTAGCCTGTCACTGCCCTAGCCCATGTCTCTACCTCTCTACCCCTGTACATGTCACTGCCCTTTACCCCAGCCCCTGTGCATCCTTCACTCCCCCTTACCCTGTCCTGCCCTCTACCCCCTAACCCCTGTAA